GGTGCACTGTAGCAGTGCGCCACCAGGCCGGCCCAACTTTTCACTTTGTTAAATGTTTCTTTTGCTGTGAAGAAGCTTTTTAGTTTGATATAATCCCATTTGTTTGTTTTTCCTTTCGTTGTCTGTGCTTTGGGGGTTATATTCATAAAGTCTTTGCCCAGTCCTACTTCCTGAAGTGTTTACTCTGTGTTTTCTTTTAGTAGTTTTATAGTTTCAGGTCTTATATTTAAGTCTTTAAACCATTTTGAGTTGATTTTCATATATGGCAAGAGGTATGGGTCTAGTTTCATTCTTCTGCATATGGTTGTCATGTTTTCCCAGCGTCATTTATTGAGGAGGCAGTCTTTTCTCCAATGTATGTTCTTGTTGCCTTTGTCAAAGATCAGTTTGGCTGTAAGAATGGGGATTGATTTGTGGGTTCTCTATTCTGTTCAGTTGTTCTAAGTGTCTGTTTTTATGCCAGTACCATGCTGTTTTGTTTACTATAGCTATGTAGTATAATTTGAAGTCAGGTAGTGTTATCCCTTCCCCCCCCCCTCAGGATTGCTTTGGCTATTCAGGGTCTTTGGTTGTTCCATATAAATGTTAGCATTGTTTTTTATTTCTATTTCTGTGAAGAATGTCATTGTTATTTTGGTGGGGATTGCATTGACTCTATATCACTGTGGGTAGTACAGACATTTTCACAATGTTTATTCTATTTGAAGAGCATGGGAAATCTTTCCATCTTTTTGCGTCCTCTTTAATTTTTTTCAGCAGTGATTTGCAGTTCTCATTGTAGAGATCTTTCACCTCCTTGGTTAAATTGATTCATAGATATTTTATTATATGGTGACTATTGTAAATGGGCTTACTATATTGATTTTTTTCTTCTGCTAGCTCATTATTGGAGTATACAAATGCTACTGATTTGTGTGTCTATTTTGTATCCTGCAACTTTAGTAGTTTATCAGCTCTAGGAGTTTTTTGGTAGAGTTTTTAGGTTTTTCTATATATTGGATCATGTTATCTGCAAACGGGGACAGTTTGACTTCTTAACCAATTTGGATGCTGTTTATTTCTTTCTCTTGCCTAATTGCTGTGGCTAGTACTTCCAATACTATGTTAAACAAGATTGGTGAAAGTGGGCATCCTTGTCTTGTTCCCATTAGCATGGGAAAAGCTGAAAGTTATTCAGGATGATATTGACAGTGGGTTTGTTGTATATGGCTTTTATTGTTTTGAGGTATTTTTCTTCTATAGCTAATTTGCTGAGAATTTTTATCATGAAGTGATGCTGAATTTTGTCAACTGCTTCTTCCGTGTCTATTGAGATAATCAGATAGTTTTTGTCCTTGATTTTGTTGATGTGGTGTATCACATTTATTGAATTGTATATGTTGAACAATCCTTACATCCCTTGGATGAATCTCATTTGATCATGGAATATAATTTTTTCGATCTGTTGCTGTATTTGGGTTGCTAATATTTTGTTGAGGATTTTTGAATCTATGTTCATCAGAGATATTGTCCTGGAGTTTTCTTTATTGTTGTTGTTGTATCTTTGTCTGGTTTTTGGAATCAGGGTGATGCTGGTCTCATAGAATGAGTTTGGGAGAAGGCTTATCTTTCAATTTTCTGGAATAGTTTGAAGAGAAGTGGTATTGATTCCTCTTTAAAGGTTTGGTAGAAGTCAGCAGTATAGCCATCCAGTCCTGGGCTTTTCTTTGTTGGATTATTGCTTAAATTTCATTGCTTCTTATTTGTCTATTCAGCTTTTCTGTTTCTTCTTGATTCAGTCTTGGTAGTTGTATGTGTCCAGAAATTTATCCATTTCCTCCAGGTTTTGAAGTTTGTTGGTGTATGTTGTTTATAATAGCCTCTAATGAATCTTCATATTTCTGTGGAGTTGGTTGTAATGTCTCCATTTTCATTCCCAATTTTTGTTATGTGGGTGTTCTCTCTTATTTTTTTTTTTTTTAGTTAGTCTGGCTAATGGTTTCTTTCTTTTGTTTATCTTCTCAAAAAACCAAATTTTTGCTTCGCTGATCTTTTGTATATTTTTGGGGGGTCTCTATTTCATTTAGTTCTGATCTGATCTTAATTATTTCTTCCAAACTACGAATTTGGTGATTGGATTGTTCTTGTTTCTCTAGTTCTTTGAGGTGTAGTGTTAGGTTGTTTGATATCTTTCTATCTTTTGATGTAAGCATTTATTGCAATAAATTTCCTTCTTAGTAATGATTTTGCTGCATCCCACAGGTTTTGGTATGATGTGTCTTTATTTTCATTAGTTTCAAGAAGTTTTTTGATTTTTTGTTTAATTTCTTCTGAGACCCATAGGTTGTTCAGAAGCATGTTGTTTAATTTCCATATATTTATATAATTTACAGAGTTTCACTTGTTATTGATTTCTAGTTTTAATCTGTTGTGGTCTGAAAGGTGCTCGAAATGATTTTGATTTTTAAAAATTTGTTGAGACTTGATTTGTCTTCTGTGTTCTGTCTTGGAGAATGTTCCTTGTGCTGATGAGAATATATATTTTGTAGTTGTTGGATGAAATGTTCTGTAGATACATGCAAATATCTACATAGGTCCACCTGATCTAAAGCACAGTTTAAATCCTATCTTTCTCTGTTGGTTGTTGCCTATATGATCTGTCCAGTGCTGAGAGTGGGGTGTTCAGTTCCCCAACTTTTACAGTATTGGGGTCTATCTCTTTCTATAGGACTAATATAGTGTTTGTTTTGTATATCTGTGTGTTCTGATGTTGGATGCATATATATTTATGCTGGGTAGATCCCTTCATCATTATATAGTGGCCTTCTTTGTCCCTTTTTAAATAATTTTTGGTTTAAAGTCTATTTTATCTGATATAAGAATAGCTAGTCCTGCTTGGTTTTGGTTTCCGTTTGTGTGGTATATCTTTTTCCATCCCTTCACTATTAGTGTGTGTCTTTACAAGTGAGGTAAGTCTCTTGAAGACAGCATTTGGTTAGGTCTAGCTTTTTAATCCAATCAGTCAGTCTCTGTCCTCTGAGAGGGGAGTTTAATCCATTTACACTTAGGGTTGTTATTGAAATGTATTGTCTTACTTCTGGCATTTTATTGATTTTTGTCTGGGTGTTCTAAATATGTTTTGTTCATATCTTTCCCTTTTATTGTTTGTATTTGACGTTTGTTGGTTTTTTGAGGTGGTAAGATTTAGTTACTTTTTCTTTCTCATTTGCATTTTTATTCTACCAGTGGGTTTTGTTCTTTCTTGTATATTCATGGTAGTGTTTACTTTTTTTTTTGGATTATAGATGCAGGACTTCCTTGAAGATTTCTTGCAGGGCTGGTCATGTGGTGGTGAACTCCCACAGTTTTTGTTTGTTTGGAAATACACTATTCATTCCTCATTTCTGAATTCTCAGCTGGCAGTTTTTTTTCTTTTAGTATTTTGAATATGTTGCCCCATTTTCTTCTGGCCTGTAGAATTTCTGTTTTAAGTTTGCTGTAAGTCTGATGGGGCCTCCCTTATAGGTGACTTTATGCTTTATTCTTGCTTCTTTTAGGATTCTCTCTTTGTCTTTGAGCTTTGTCAGTTTGGCAAAGAGGATCTTTTTGGATTTAATCTGTTTGGGAATCTTTGAGCCTCTGGAATCTGTAGGTGTGTGTCTCTCTCTATACATGTGATGTTTTCTATTATTATTTCATTGAATGCCTTTCCTTTCATTTCCATTTCATCAATGCCTTTTCCTTTCTCCTCCCCTTCTGAAATCCTGATGATTTGGATGTTTGTATGCTTAAGATTGTCTGCTAGATGTCTTAGATTTTCTTCACTTTTAAAAAATACGTTTTTCCTTTTCTTTTGTCTGCCTGGCTTATTTTGAGAAGGCCATCTTTGAGTTCAGAAATTCTTTCTTCTGCTTGCTCTAACCTGCTGCTAAGCTTTCGATTGTGTTTTTTATTTCATTGAATGAATCCTTCAGTTCCAGTAGTTCTGCTATATTATTTTTTAAGGTATTATTCTGTTTGTAAATTTCCTCCTTCATATCCTGGATATTTTTTCTCATTTCATTGTGTTGTCTGAGTCTTCTGTATCTCATCAAGTTTCCTTGAGATTGTTGCTCAGAATTAATTTCCAGTCATTTCAAGGGTTTCCTGCTCTATAGGGTCTGGTACTTGAGAATTACTGTATTCCTTTGGTGTCATATTTTCTTGTTTTTTCATATTTCTAGTATCTCTACCTTGATGTCTGGTCATCTGGCAGGGCAGTTGCTTCTTCTATTACTCTGCTGTAGGTTTTGAGGAGAGAGATGTCCTCCTCTTTTTCCAGGCTCTGGCAGTGACTGTCCTTGTGTTGATGTGGTAGGCTGGGCAGTGGGCCACCTGCACAATTGCTGTGGCTGCTACTGTGGTTATAAGCCACCCTTGCAGCAGTAGTGAGTATGGTGGTGGCTATGGTGGAGCACCCATGTGGAAGCAGTGTTTGTAGCATGCTCCTGCCTTCTATCGGGTGGGAGAGGCTACCTGTGGCTCCTGCCTTCATCCCTGTTCATGCTTCTACCTTCTGTTGGCGGGGGTGGAGGGAGCTGCCCACAGCTCCTCAACTTATCTCCTTTTGGATGTTTAAACTATGGGTGTTTTTTCTCTCTATCTTCTTTCATATTTATTGCCAGAGAACTGTAAATAATCACGATTTTAGCATTTCAGTGTTATTCTAATGATTAACTTTTCTTTATTGAACATCTCCCTTTCTTAATTTTAAATAGACCATACTACTTTATTAAATAATATTGAATACTTCCTTATTGTTACTTTGAATATTGAATACCTCCTTAATGTGTTAGTTGTGAGAAAACAGTTACACCTTTATTTTCTGATTTTTATCAGGTTGTTTCTTATCTTTAACAGGGAAATCTCATTACCTCATCTAATGCAGCACAACTTGAACTATGCAAACTAACAAGTAATGACCTGTTACATTTTTGAAAGCTTATGCTAACTTACTATTCTTGAAAAAATGTTTTCTTCAGGCACTTGAAGACTCTAGCTGCCTGAAAAGAAGTGGCAGGGACAGTGGCTACGGTGATACCTGGTGTCCTGAGCGGGGAGAATTTCCTGCTACTTCAGGCCACCATAAGAGGGAAGATTCCTTTGAAAGCTTGGATTCTTTGGGCTCTCGGTCATTGACAAGTTGCTCCTCTGATATCACATTAAGAGGGGGACGTGAAGGTGAGTTGCAGTATTGGCTGTCAATTTATTTTTATCTGTTTGCTTATTAAGAAAACTGAGAACAGTAGAGAGTAGAAAAATGGAGTGAAAACTACTTAGGCAAAAATTTCACCAAGAAGTGGATTTTCATAGAGTCTCAAGTGTAATTGGGGATTTCTTTTTTGTTACCCCCCCCCCCCCCCCCTTTGGGGATTTTTTTTTTTTAAAAAAAAAAAA